TCTAAAAAAACATCCTTGTCCTTTGGCCCATAAACGAGCTACGACCTAGAAACGAAGCCCTGACAAAAGCGTGACAAAAACCATGCGGTGCAGCTACGTTCGGCAGCTTGGGGTGACCACACATTGCCATTTTGCGTCCCTGTGGTCTAGCAGCGAGTTGCCGGATTTGTACTCCAGGTTCAGTAATGGGTGCGTGTCTCAAGATAGGGCGCGTTGCTTTGTCCGACTGACAAAGTAAGGTCGGATGGGAACTAGCCAAAGGTCAGCCAAGCCGTGTCGCAACCCTGTTCGGTAGCATAACTCCTCTACGGTCTTCGCTTGCACGAAGCTGACGATACGATCTCCTTACGAGTTAGATCGGCCCACCCTTGTGTGGGTTCCGCGCACATGACCGAGCTCTGCCTAAGGAGTAATCTGCATCCATAGCTGTCCATGTCAATGGACAGCTATGGATGGCAGCTATGAATGGACGGCAGCATCATTCAACAGAAGCGATTTGTTGGTTGGTCTCGACACTGAATCAATATCAGTACGTCATATCACCAGGGACGTAATGTTCCTAGTAAAGAAGGTGGAAGAGCGTCTTTTTGACAATTTCTTTTCGTTCTGGGCAAAAATAAGACTACTTTTCAGACAAACACCACCACTGCAAAGGGGTTGAGTCTGTACTTTTCATGCAATGACTACCCACATCAAAATAGGGTATTCAGTACGGTGTTTAAGCCCAGTGTGTCTGAGCCTTTGAGTCATAGGATAAGTTATATTTCGATTACAGTGGAAAGCCTCATTGAGGGGCATGGTGCTCCATTGGTTTGTCTCTCATTATGTGCCTTTTGTAACTGAAAGGCAAGCTTTGCATGCCTTCAAACTTTGGAGAGACGCAAGCTGTAGTTGGCTACCGCCCTATGGAGCTGATGGTGTCGGCCTTATTTGTACCCAGTTAGTGCTGTTAACATCCGTTGCCGTTTTTAGACCTTCAATGACAAGAAATCATGCTGTTTTTCCGTATGATTTGGGGGGACGAAGTTGCGCTTCTAGTGGCTTGATTGCGCATTACATCCAAATTGCTTTGAAAGTACACTCCTTTTCCTTTGAACAGAGCTTTCGTCTTTGCATTGCTTTTCCTTTTCTCAGCCTCCATTTATTCCCTTTGAAATTATTCTCCGTGTCGAATTCAAATGGTGCGGAAAGGCTGGGTAGGATGTACGCCATGATGCTTACCTGACCTTCATCACTTTGCAAGCCAGCCCTGTGCACATGATTTGCAATAAGAGGAGCAGTCGGCTGCTAAAAAGCAAGATACCCAGATGCAGGGATACATGTGGTACCCTTCTGCGCGTGTCGTGTGTAGAAGTCTTTGAGTGGGTTTAATCCTTTTGAGCGTGATGACATCGCATCATACATTATTGATGGGAATATGATGGCATAAGGCGACGATAGCACATCTGATGAAAGGCCAAGTCAGGGATCGGATATGAGGATTCTATTCCAAGGCTCGCATCTGACATTCTCGGCTTGTCTTGTTCAGAACACTGGAAACACGTACACGGTCGACACTTTTGTATGCATGTTTTCTTCAGAGCTGTAGCCTGTCTGTGTCACATGGTGAAGCAGGGCATGCAGCTGTTTAAGGCGTGAGTGGCGAACACAGTCCGTTGCGCGTCAGTGCCGCAGATGACAACAGCGACCACAGCTCTGCTTTGCGTGACACGCACCACAGAACACACCGACGATCCCCAATAACACAGCAAACATGAAATGAATGGGCATCTTCCTGTCCCCATTAGGCTTAATCATGTTCCCGGGAATTCACTACATTAGTCATGTAATTGTCTCAGTTCCGGTATCTGGCCAGATCTGCTGTCCAAAGGTAAAACCCCATGTGTTCATTTCTGGTCACTTCGCGTGTTTCATGCTATCTGATTTGTTTTTTCATGCTGCATTCGGATATTTAAACCAATAGCTGAAATTTGCACACACTTTTAGCTAAAAGAATGGGTAAAAGTTTGTGAGAATTTCAGCCAATTGTTTACGTACCTGAAATCAGCATGAGTACATGAATAACATGACATAAAAAGCGCAAAGTGGCCAAAAATTAACATATAGATTTTGCCTTTGGACGGCAGAGATATCATACAGAATTTAAACGTTGGCTTGCCAACTCGTGGGAGTTATTCACGTGGCAATGAGCAACGTGAACAGAAGGAGCCGCTGGACTTAATGTGCATTTTATCGTATTGTGGTTTAAGTGCAGCAACAGCCATGTGGCTTATCTTGCACTGATCGCGATGAAATGGTACACATGGCGTCTTGGGGCAAGGATGGGGACAGGTGTCGTATGTGTTATCCCAGCTGTCCTGATGGCGCTCAACGACAGCAGCCTGGCATTTGTCTGATCTAATTGAGAAATGAAAGGCCGACTTTGAATGGAACGCCTGTTTTCGGTCATGTGTACATTTTGTATTAGGTTGTAGTCTCTATATCATATAATTCTCGAGACACATGATGTATGCACTTTGGAAAGTAACTGGGGCGGCAATAGCATCGTATATTCCAAGGCGGGCCAAAGAAATCATGTGTAGCTCCGCATAAGGAATTGATACATCCAGAGTACCAAGCAGGAAGCTACAAAAAGCATTTAAAGACAACATTTGTCTCCGAAGTTATTTTCGTGACACGCAATCGATCTGAATGAAGTGTGTCTCACGACGATTGGATCACTCGCTGATCTAGCCGTATTCACTCAGTGAAACTAGTTTACTTTTGCCCAAAACTGGCATCTGGCTGGAAGGGCAACTTTGTTTAGGCTTCCTTACTACGCAAAGACTCCATTGCTGTTGGGAAACAAATGAACTGATCGTTAGTCCATGACAGTCAGAAAGAACATTTTAATTTATATCTCCACGAAGGAAGATCGGATTCCCAGAGTGCACGATCCGATCTACCCGAAACATGCCGCACCCCGCTCTCCCAATTCATTTTACTCTGATGATGCAAAACTTCTTCATAAGTTGTTGAGCGCATTTGCGAGGAGCATTATTCACATAAACATGACAGTATTAATAGCCTATTCCTCGGAGAGAAAAAAGCAGCAGAATGGAGATATAGATGCGTTCATATTTCGGCAGCATGCTTTTATCGAAACAATACCACTTCTGCTAAAGTTTCGATAAAGGCGTGCTGCGGAAATATTAACGCGTCTGTATCTCCATTCTCCTGATTTTTCTCCGAGGAATGACGCTTTTACTTCTGTTTTATCTATGTGAAACGTTTTGGACACATTTACCGCATTGTGAGCCAAAATAGCCTACAAACTTTGCAATTTCCTCCTGCATGGCCACGCGGCCCCTGCGGCTTATTGGCTCTTTGGCAAGGATTCAATAAACTGCTTCTCTTTACCTAGTAATTTTGTGTCTCACGTGCCAAAAACAATATGATCCAGCTATTTATTTTTGCCGATTGCGCGCTATGGATGAGTACGTTAAGCGAGCTGAGTTCTTCATTGCACACATATTCAGAAGTCATGCACCATAATGAAATATACCTACACGTATTCTTCGTGAACTGCCGATTTTCTTCGCACGAATACTGATGAAACGGATCACGCAAAGGGTACACAGCACGTCATACCAAATGACAACCGTGCAACGGTGAAGATGGGTAAATAGGAAACACGTTGTTACTGTGGTTATTTTATGGTCCCATCCTAGCTTACCATAAGGCTAAAATGTAACAGATACCTGAAATATCAAAGCTTGAGAGCTCGTTCAAAAGTTGTGCAGTCAAAAGAAAGACCTCGATGCTTTTGCATATCACTTGATACTTTGCAAGTTAAGTAGACCATCTGAAAATATCAGGCACAATTGTAGCCATGAACGGCAAAACACACCTCAACTATACGTCTGAGTTTGTGTGTAACGTGATCGCTGCCATTGCCGCGACTTTAGGTCCACGTTTCATCGGGTGTGATGAATAGCATTTGGAGTGGTAAAAGCATGTAACAGCGGAGGCCACTTGTGAAAAACATTCGAGCATCCGTCAGCAGATATAGCCATATCTGTAGAATTAGCCCAATGAACATCCCATATCAAACCTCTCTGAGGCTGTGCTGTTAAGATTACGGTACAGTATTCGTGTCAGTCTCGAAAGCAGATGTAGTACAAAAGTTTGCATGAGTCAACGAGTGACAAGTCCTGAGTAAGTTTTGCAACTGGTGTATTCCATTTATGTTGAGAATGAAGTCAAGAGGCTACCGTATTGCAATTTAACATCATAACGTGTCAAATAAGGTTACAGTTCTACTACTAACCCATGCCACATTGTGCTATTGGTGCTGATACTCACGCACTACGTAAATGTATTTGATTTCTATGGTGGTGTGCGCCATTGCCTCCTCGCTTGCCAGTGATTACGGATGGGTGAACTGAGGTGATCAAACCAAGACTTTGTGATGCTACGTAGCGTTGTTCATTCCTGGTGCAGCACAGAAACCTTCTAACATTTTAAACCGAAGCGAATTTCGTACGCATGCACCCAAAGATGTGCCAAGATTCTCAACAGACGAGACGTCGTGGCACTACTTCTTGAAATAGGTCTCAACAATTACAAAATATCGGCAGTGACAGACAGACATGCATGAAATGTTTTTCGTTGCATAAACCTCAAAATGGTGCAATGATGCAACAGCGTAAAATTCGGAGTCTTCGGAGTGAACAGCAAGTGTAATATTTTGAGAGGAATTTAATCAACTGTTTGCATGATGCGATTGTAGAACCAGCCAGCACAGTTCTACGCACCTGTTCTCTAAAATATCACCTGCATTCACCTCCTCTCCGAACGTTTGACAGGCCGAGCCAATCGGGAGATTTGGTGTGCTTGTCATGACTGGCCCAACTCCTTGTCAAAAGATCAGTATGCAATTAAGGACACGAGCAACTAGACTGCAGTTTACTAAGTGGCACCACGACATTGACAAGACTTAGCAACTATACACAACATACCTAATGGAGCACATATAGGCCGGTAGTTATCTGCAAAACAGGTAAGACCCGTGTAAGGCAGGTGTCAGTCCACCCGCGACACCTTTGACTAGCTGACTTGGGGGCCAGTTAAACTACGGAGCAGCAAAGCCAATGCTTATGGATACCCTACACCCAGCGCTAAAGCACCTTGGAAAACTCCAGAAAGCAATGCCGAAGCTATGAAACATAAAACTTTACCAATCGAGATGTCTTCTTGCCCATTCATTCCGTAGAGTTGTTTATCGGTAAAACCGCATTCTGCATCATGATTTGCGCACTTTCTATGAGACATGACATCTTCACGGATAAATTAGCTAATCTGGAATCGGTGTATTAGCAGTATAGCTTACTTCTTGCTTATGGTTACGAGCAGAATGCGACCAACCGATATTCATTGACACACACACACACACACGCATACACACACCCACGCACACACACATACACACACACATACACACACACACACACATACACACACACACACATACACACATACATACACACAAACACACACAAATAGAAAAGAACAGGAATGCAGACTCGTGGCAAAAGAACGCTCTCAAGTAAGAGTTCTTTGCCCTGTAGGATTAACAAATGAGTATCGTAAATTTCCCATGCTCATGCCGTATATTTATAGAAAAATGCCGCTTCCTTTATGGCCCATACAGATTACATACGAAGCAAGACAAAAAGAGAGGACAGATATATCGAAGCCATTCGTTGGCTTTGCACTTACCCAGCACCAATGTCGGCCAGCTTTCCATTCGGGCGGAAAGGCCCTTCAAAAATATTTGGTGCAAAAATAACAGTGTCTCCGAGTTAAGGAATATCGAATTGACATCTTCGTGGCTACACGGCGGCATTTTTGAAGAGGCCGCCATTTTGAATGGCCTTAAAAAGCCCGTCACTAGGATGTTGAGCTGCTCCACGTACTCCTCTTCTGCCTCCACCATTCGAAACACGAGACTGGAACAGTGCGACAAGGGGTTATTTTCAGCATTCAGCCACCGTTTTTTTCTGGAGCCATCATGGCAGCTCAGCAACATTACAAGTTTTCGTTTTTCTCGGACATATCTACAGTGGATTCGAAACCCACTCCTGGTTGTTTTTTTCGGCTTGCCTGCTCTGCCGAATGCAGAGGCGTCATACCATTCAAACAATTGCAAAACAACTCACGAGATGATAAAATATATCTTACCCTGCTGAAAACGTGACGCATCCATGTGTTGCATACTGGCACCATTGGCATAGTTCGTGGGTGAGGACAAGTACACCCAACGATTAACTTGAACACCTAAAGTGAAACCTCCCTAGAAGATCACCCGCTTCATCGCACGACCCAAAACAAGCATCACACGTCTCATTTATTTGAGAGGTAACTCATCGCTTCATCAGGTTCTTAGTCGCTGGAATGCTCCCAGGGCACAAACGTGGTGAGTATGCCTAATTCGGTGACATATCCTCCTGGCGGGATCATGAGGAGTAAGCAGCCCAGTGTCAAAGGAACCTGACCCGCATCGTTTTTGCTTTGCTTTTTGCTTTTTTCATCATCAACTTTGCATGCCAGGCACCGGGGCTTAGACAAAGCGCTGCACCAGTGTTGGGCTGTCCTTTATAGCTTGAGCACTTAACTCAGGCTTTAGTCTTCTATTCAAGTATTGTGACCCTTCATTGCAGAGCATATCATAAGTTCAAACACCTTCGCTGGGGAATTCACCGTGGCTTATCAGGTAACTGCAGGAGTTCGTTCATGCCGAATCAATGTGGCGTATCGGGATTGTTTTCACTCAGAACAAGCTGCCTGAGCAATAACCTCGTGCTACTGGGCTATGGAACAAAGACATTTCAGAAAACGTCTAAACATTCATACTAGCTTCTAGTTGATCGCAACGCAGAGCTTTTTAGCAAAGAGCGACCGACGTGTCACCAAGCAACAATTTTGAAGTTCTCAGTATTTTTGAAATTCATCGTGACAAACAAACGAAATGCATATCTGTACGCTACTTAGCATATCAACCTGTGTCAAACATCTGGCATCATTCTAGCGCCTCCTCCATCACGTGGTTCGGTAAGTACATCAAAGCGTTTCCTTAAATCATAACTTTTGACCCGCCGTCTCAATGCGTGCCTTTTTGCTCCCCATCGGTGAACAGTGCAGTAGTCGCATTAAGGTTCATTTCAGCTGCTTGTCCATGCCAGCTTTCTCGGAGTGTCTTTCCTGGTGTGTGTATGTTCTTAGGTTCACAAACGCTTGCATTTGATGACCTAACTTGCAATGTGCAAAAAAAAAACATTTGGTGACAGCGGCAGAGCTGTTCTATCTCACACCCGACATCTATCAGCAGCCAAGGCTGAACGCAGAATGTACTAGGATTTACGAACTGTTGGATCAAGGACCTTCGGTGGTCATGTAAGAGTTCCGGTTAGAGGGCTCGGACAGCCCATCCACACTCGGCACAGGCGGCCGGCGAGGCTGCGTTAGCCGGCAGCCCAATGTTGGCTCTAAAACGTCCCGCTGGAACGAACACGCTGTAAATCTGTGCTGCGAATTTGCCCCTGGTTTCGTCCGTCTTTACAGCGTCTGTGCGATTAATGCGCCATTATCACTCTAACCATAGCGCACTGATGTATCAAGTCTGTCTCAGCCAGTAAAAGACATCTTATAGCGGAGCTTCAATCACAGCCGACAAATTCAACGGTGGGAATGGACAACTATTCCTTATCTCTTCTGGCTTTGCACATCTTTAACTGAAACGTTCAGCAAACTCCTTGTCTGCCTCGCTGATGCGTACTGACAGAATGGTCTTAATGGACGAAGCTTTTCGAAGTTTTCTAGCGGTTAATGCTACACCATTACCACTGCTCAATGTTTAAATAGTCGCTTTTTCGTCGAAGCACACAACGCGCATTATTCACGACTGGTCGAACAATAAACGTTTTGCCTCCCGTAGTCAACATATTTCGGCACCTGCAAATGTAAAATAGTTTTGCTTTTCAATTCACACTCAATCGGGTTTTGGCAGACAAGTATCTTAGAACCCGCGAACCGTTTCTCATTGCCTAATTATATGAAATAAAAGGCTTTTAACAATGTCCTCATGTCCTAAATACGCATACTGAGCAAAATAGGCGAAGTTCTATCTCGTTCCTTCGTTCGATAACTCGGTACTCGGGAGATCAAACACAATCGCATGTGTAACCTATCCTCCTCTCCCTTTTCATCGGAGTAGCTCCAACTTCACGCTACCCGGGTTCTGAATAACTGCCAAAAGTGCCTGTCCGCATGAAGGCGGCATGCAAAGACGGCAATAATGTGATTAAAGCTGCCGGATCAGACTTGGCACTACATGAGATTATCTTACAATAAAGTGGATTTAACTTGTTGATCATGCTCTGGACGACTGCGGCGATTTTAGATCTCTGCTTTGCTACGCCTGGAGTGCAAACTGCAGAGGTTCGCCCCCCACGCTGCACGAGGTGTTGAAATGGCTGAGGCTGGCTGTGGTGACTGCGGTACAAGCCATCGCTAAATCAAATATCATTCTACTCCGATTCTCTCTCAAAAACGGTGCGTTGACCAAAGTAATTCTGTACGTAATAACATTTGCACTGCACTTTATTTAACAAAATGCCCACTTTGCGGCTCCCAGTGCGTGAGATGCGGTCCCATCATTCCTATCCCTTTTCCAACTTATTTTTGTTCCGAATGGCGTGAAGTTTTTTCTCAGGCAACTTGCTCTGTGACGGATTCCTGTTGTTCCTTACCTTGCTCGTGTGGGGTTAGTCCCCGGAGATAAACGTCGTTCCTTTTGAAGGAGCGATTTGGACCGAATCGTACCTGTTTCGCTTACGCATGCTCTCGGCATGTGGTGACTTGATATATTCCTCGACAATCTGCTTCCAGCGACGGCGACACAGCCAGCCGCGGAAAAAGCTTTGGACCTTCTTAATCTTCTTGATCTCGTCAGACTCTTCGCTTTCTTCTGACTGCTGATGCGGAAGAAACCGCCAGTCCTTCTTCAGCGTGCAAAGCTGAAAGAATGACCAGCAACGTTGGACAACTTTGAGCGGTATATGGCAGGTTCAGAGAGCTTTCAGAGCCTTTCTATTTCTTACATGTCGAGTTCTGCAGTGTTCCAGCAGCGGAGCATTTCGGATGCAAGATAAGTTTAAGCTTTTTGATGGTTCTAACTATTTTTGTTTTCAAACCTTTGCAAATTAAGTAATTACGTAACATTTGAAAGCTAGCTTCAAAAGAGACTAAATTACTTTCATTTGACAGAAGTCCTGCGAGGAACATGTCAGGGACGAATTGTTGCTATGCTGGCCGCTTTCCTGGCCTATATATTCACCGTCTTATTGAACAATATCCAAAAGGTGCATGATCAAATGGCCAGACACCGTGCGGAGTACAATTTTGATGCAACCGGTAACCTGGCAGGATATAATGGTCTCAGCAGTGAATGTGTCCCCTCTAGTGTGGTGGAAGACATGGGATTATGACCAAAATAGCTCGGATACGATTATTATTACCATTAGCAAGGTTGTCATCGTCATGCACAAATGCATTTCTAAGACCAAGGATGTAATCCAAGTTGGTTGTGTACGCATTCTCCTACTGATGCCACCTGCTTGCATATTTTCCAGTGAAAGTAAATGAACAATGCACCATTTAAGATACTTATTTGTACCGTTTTTCCGTTAACACGTTGGAACCCTTAAATGCTGAATCAGATTGCCACGGTTTCGTCCGGCTAATTCCAATGTAAGCTGGGCCGGATGGCATGATATTTACACATTTGGTAAACAAGATTGGCGGCCACATGGAATCTGGACTAGCCGGACCAGATCGGACCGGATGATATTTACTCATCTGATAAACAAGATTGGCGGCCAGATGGAATCTGAACTAGCCGGACCAGATCGGACCGGATGATATTTTCACATTTGGTAAACAAGATCGACGGCCAGATGGAATCTGAACTAGTCGGACCGGACAGGACCGGGCCTTGGAAATCAGTTCGTGAGGTGCTCTAGTTCCCACGACTCCCAGCGGTAGATCTGCCAAGCGGTTGCTGTGGTCGGAAGAGAGCGCCATACGCATGATGACGAGTCGTTTAAAGGGGCAGTGCCACCTGTCGGCCCGAAATTCACCTGCACACGCTACACACATGTAAATAAGGCAGTCGTGTCAAGCCCACGTACTCAAACGTCTCAACGGCCTAAATTTCGCTTTGAATGGATATTTCCGTGGTTGTTTTCTACCCGGTTCTTTGAAAATCGGTATCAACACTGCTTCGACCAAACATTGGTTTGTTCTATCCACTATCATCGAGGGAGTTGTTCAGTACGGGAACAGTCACCGGCCAGCCGGCCGGACAGCCTGCCGCTGATCGATCTACTGGCCGCAGCGGTTGGCTACCATGCTATGAAAACAATGATTTAACGTAAGGTTAAGTTACGTTGTCACACGCCGAATCCATGTCCGGCCTAAGTGTCCGCGTGAAACTCGGCTATCCAAGACTGCCTAGTGGCTGAAAGATGAGCTTTCAGCGATGCTGCGCTGAGCGGTTCGGGTGTACTCTTCACCATTCGCCTCAAAACGCAAACAGGTACAGGTACAGTTACAGGTACACCCACACAAAAACACACGCGTACGCGCTCACACAAACGCACACGCACACGTACACGCACACGCATGCACACGCACACGCACGTACAGGCACACGCGTACGCACACGCACACGCGCACGCACGTTCATTATCTCACGCTTGTACGTACTCCTGTACACACTCCCGCCTCCACATCCACACCCCCATTCCCACTCCATACACCAAACGTACACACACTTCCGTCAGGTCTGGCCGGGTCAGATAAGAGTGCTCGAGCTGAAGCCTCTTCCAATAGTTCACGAAGACGACGATGGTACGCGGTCATATGCGCAATATCGGTTGCGCCGTTAAGGCCATATCTTGCGAACTACGGTTGGACACTTGTGGGCGTAAAACTTCTGCAATGACATGGCACGTATGTGGGTCTGTAAAAAATTATGGTAATTTGCTGTCACAAGTCATTTCAGCAATACGCACACCAAAAATGGAGCGCCTTTATAAAGGAATTATATCACATTAAGTCTCTGAATATCGTACAGACGCAACATTCTATTAGTACCATATCGATATTTTTGGTGGCTATTGGTTCCATACATACAGGTAAGACCGTCCCTCAGATGATCAAACTTTTGGGGGCTGATCCGAAGTCTGTCATCAACACAGAGCTTTCTTCAAGCTCTGTACATGGAGGGAGGGGGGGGGGGCAAGGTGGTGGCTGACGGAGTGCCCGGTGCAGAGATAGGATCCATGCGGGGGGGGGGGCGGATTATGTGCCCGGCGTTATCATACTCGGCATGTAACATGGCGCTCACGCAAAGAGCAAACCCCTTAATGGTCTACGTGCAACGCCATATGCCGAGCATCGATGACAGATCTCGCGTGCCCCACAACGTCTCCAAGTCTCGACAAGAGGCGCCGAAGCCAAGCGTGCGGTAAGCGTGGTGTGCTGCGTGACGGACGGGCGTCACCACTCTACGTGACGGCCAGGTGTCACCGACACTAAGGCCGACACAGACAAGTAGAGCGGCGGTGCCTGCGCGGCCGCCGCCGGCGTCGGCAGCACGATGGATGGACCGCCGGGCTGGCTGCTGCCGCCCCCGCCGGGCCCACGCCCCCGCGTGGTGACCGTGTCACCGGGTGTGGTCGGGACGTGTTCCTGGCGCTGCTGAAGTGACAGCAGTTGGTCGGTCGCGCCGCGGTACTTGAGGCTACTGTGCATGTGCACCAATGTTTCGTTTCGTTTTGCAGCGCTCTGTGCGTAGGCCTACTCAGAACCATACCACGCAAAAGTCGCCTGTGATAGTTCATCATACGCTCGCTGAAAATTAGGACTGATTTTCGTCGGAATGAGTGGCAAATACTGGACTGTTGGTGCGGCGCGTATCACATTAAGATAGCACAATCCTTGGGGTGGATGTTCACGGTTCAGTCGCAGTGTCATGACGTTTATTGACTTTGCAATGTGTTCCTTAAAACACCCTGCCGTGTCCGGTAGTACCCCACTGATGCTAAATTTTCCGGTCGAGTGCTACAATTGGGGTGAGCTAGCTGCAAGCATGCGGCGCTTAGAGCATAACTCGGTGCTATAAAGTGGTGCTAGGGAAGAATGCAACACTGTAAGCATCCTGTAAGATCCGGTTTTGGCATAGCAACTTATGGAAGCAAATAGGAAAGCACCAGCAGAGCTCTTGCTTGTACGTTAGAAAAAGCTACAGTTAGTACCGCGCTTACACATTTTAGGTTCAAAAACAGTTGGCATCTTTCCAACATCACACAAACTACTTAAGGTAAGAGGTCTATGGGCCTGGTTTTCGGCAACGACATGGTGTTTTATAGGTGCTAATCTTTTTACACTGGTGAAGTGGGAGGGCAGTTGAAATAATGCATGATTAATTGTTTATGCCATGGATGCGGGGTACAATAATCCACTCCGTAATTCTTCGGCCGCGATTTTAGACTGCTAGTTGCGCTTAATTGATAACATGAGTGATTGCCATTTTTCAAATCATACGTAAATTCTTTCTATTGCATGACACCTCAAATCGTGGTTCTTGGTTATTAGCGGTTTATCACACCATGGTTCTTAATGCTTAGCGGTCTCTAGCGGTTCCCGCACTCGACAACTCCAAATGATGGGTCTGATTTTGAAAAGCGGCGTTACGTCCGGTGGAATTGTGATACATAAATAACCCCCCAAATATATAAATCTGTCTAACGCGCCATTTAACAAGGTCTTGAGAAATTTTCCAATACCCACTACGCCTTCGCAAATTTACCAAGATCTTAAGATATCGGAATTTCCTCTTGTAATTTTGGGATGCATTTAACCCTCGCCAAGGTTCACGGCTTCTCATAACGCGGGCCGATAGGGGAAGAGGTCGATGGCCTCCCCCTCGTCGTATCTAACCTAAGAAAGAGGTAGTCTTGTGGGAATAACTAGTGAATTGGCATCAGTGGGATACCGCGACTTGTGTTATTTTATGCTGCGTTTTACACTGCTGGGTAAATAGTTGATCCCACGATACCAGGTCAAAATAAAATGTTCCTGAAAGTCGAACATTGCAGGCTAATCCGTCCTTGTCATCAATCTAAAAGTCACATAGGCAGAATTCACGCCCATACTTCTTTCCAAACGTAACAGATGATATGCTAAGGGGTTCAAAATTACTTCTTTCAGATGCCCCAGCTGTTTCATCCGCTCGTTGACCACCGCTGCATGTCAGCCACGGGCCGACACCCCGCGGCCGGTGGAGACTGCAACGCCGGGCGTCGGGGTTGTTTCTAAGATTTGCGAGCGTGCATGTTCAAAATTACGTTACATGACAGTTCTCAGTAATCGATTCTGACTGAATGTTGAAAATTTTAAGCCAGACATGGGTCAGCTTTGTCAATGCAAAATCTGACCTTATATTGATCTACAACCTACATTCAGGAAGTTCTCAATGTCTCTGAAGAACACAGAAAAATCTGGAGAGTCTTCTGAGTTTTATCGGTTTAGAAGGAGTACACTAAGCGATTGTAAAATGAAGAACGCTGGTGCTTAATCCACGCAGTCGCTCAACGCCTCACTTCAGCAGACTTTAAAATAAAACCAGAACTGATTTTGCGATAGCTTCTGGTTTTTGTTCCTGTTCCGGTTGCAAGATGAAAATAACAATAATGCGAACGGCACCTTACCCCACGTAAACAAATGAGCTATATTCGGCGGTATTATGGGGGGAGGGCCTTTACAAGCAGGCGGCCCTTGTCAACCCTGTGTACCCCATGCAGAGGCTCTGGCTATGCTCTTGCCCGCATCCTAAAGTAGTTTAACTCGGCTATGTTGAATGGGGGCAAACGAATGTCGGGTGGCCCAATTCATGCCTAAGGCACGCAGCTTCCCCAAAGCTTATTTCTTGTTTGACAGCATGTAAGGGAAGATAATTCAGAAATAGATCTGTCTTGTAGCAGGTGTCTGATGGATATAGCTTTACACACCAGGAAGAAGTGATGGTGATCCATAGACGTACAGCAAAGCAGTCATACGATTGGTGAACAGTCATGCGAGGGATAACCGGACTTGGGCAGTGACCGCCGACGGTGGACGGGAGCAGGGCTCAGATAAGAAATATCTCAGAGAGGGATCTTAATTTTGTGGCTTGTTCTTAAACTGAAAACTCGGGTTTTATGATTTTTGTCACATTGCTTTTGAAGTTGGTTTTGAAATCTTCCGAACCTCATTCCACTTGGAATGTTGCGACAGATCTTATGTTTCGAAAAACATTCGGCGAAATTTACGCGCAAGAAACTCCGGCGCAGTATGGGTTACTGATTCGTATCTAAAATTTTGATCAGACTACGCCAGGGAATATTTTTGCATGAAACCTGTAGAGCCAGGTGCCTCCTCAATGACCCAAAACGCCCACCCGTTCGTGTTATTTCGCCTCCTCAGGGAAGACAATGCTGAAATGAAAGAATAGAAATCTTGGGGAATTAGATATTCTTATCTGCCAAATGACATAGATGAGTTGAATAGGGAAAGTTGTGCAACAATGGGGAAACAACTGTAGGTGAATATTTAGCATAGCAGCCATGGCACTCAGTTATTTCCTAAATTTGTAAAGTGAATTCAGTGCGGACAATATCCTCTGGTCAACCCGATCTCGCAATGTTCCTACGCCTATGCTCATATCTGCCACATATTACCCTAAAGTGACCCTAAATATAAACAGACATGTCCCTCATACAAATTTGAGTATGATAGCATGATGGTATCTAGGTGAAAGTGTTTTGAACGCATATTTATGATGTAGGGCTCCGTTTATGTAACAGTGTCGGCCCGCCGCGCAGTCTGCGGAGCCGCCAGCTCCCGCCCGCCGCCCACGCCAGCGTTGGATCGTCGTGCAATATTCCTAAAACCGTCACTTCTCAGAAACCGGAAATGCTACTGACAATTTGTGGTCAAAACACGCGCCCTGAGTGTCCCAGAGGCTACTAAAAATTTGGGCCCATAAAACGACATGTCAGAGAGGCATCTTCAGGAAACCTCGAGGAGGCCGTATCGACCACCTCTCCCTACCAGTTCGAGGATTAAATCGATTTAAACAAAGCGAGAAAGATGAGGATAAGTGCTCCACACAACACTTAAAAGTAAGACCAATTTTGGGATTTAGCATCGGCCATAAGCCATTGGGTTCCAGCTTGATGAAACGGGAGTACATACCTAAGCATGTCAATCACAATTTCGCACACTTTAAAGCGATTTGATCCCGTCATATGGGGAAACGACTAGAGACAAGCCACCTCGAGCTGATCTTTCGAGCCTGAAGGCATCAATAACAAGGCTGTGCCAGTCAAAACAAGCTATTTTTGGTATGGTCACATTTGATATGGTCATTCATGGTAAGGTCGTAGGATGCAAACCAAAGTGCGTAGATCCGTACTTTTGCTATTGAAACTAGACCTTGGTCAGTGACCACACGAATCGGCCAGCAGAATAGCAGCGGTTTCCTGATTGGTCAGCTGGCAACATGAATACTGGCTAGTCACAACTAACTCTGTTCAGTACGTTTCGTGACGACTAAGCCGCTTCTGTCATAATTGATACAAGAGTCTAATTTGATGAGAACTCGTTATCTCAAATGTTCCATGGCAGCGGAAATCCGTCGACTCAGGCCTCACACGAAGCGCTCCAAATCTCGGCAGCGCATAAGCCGTGGAACCATTAGCTGTTAAAACAAGCCTGCTGGCCATGGGCAGACTCATGATCGCCAACCTACTGGAAATAGTACAATGATGCTTACAACTTCGTTAAATTTGATTTTAATGCAGTTTGGTGATCATAAATTACTTAGCCTATGCCCTGGTAAACCCAGATGGCCTTTCTGCTGTCATGTACAATATTACCAGTGCTCAGGGGCAGCTCAGCAGGGGGCAAAGGGAGAAAGAGCAGCTGCCCGCTCCCCTCCCTGCCGGCAAGCGCAGGGGTGGGGGCAAGCAACTGCCCCCCCCCCCCCCCTCTCCCCCCAGCAGGCCTCCTCCCCCAGCAGCCCCTCCCCCCCCCCCCAGCAGGCCCCCAAGAAGGCCAAAGCTCTCTTTTTTGCAGCTAGCTCTCTCTCAGGGGGGCTAGGCTTTTGAACCCCCCTCCCCCACCCCACCCCTACCAGCAGGCAAGCAGGCAAGAGTGTGTTTTCCCCTCAAAATTTTGGGAGGCACCTTTTCTAAGCTAAAGGCATTACAGCTATTCGTAGATTACCAAAGTTCAGAGCAAGGAGGGTCACATAACTGAAGATGCTCTCAGAAGAATGGCTTGCGGAGCAATGATATGACTTGGCGTTTTGTTTGGTACGGCCATTTTTATTTCATCTGGTTTAATCTTTTCTGTCTTCTTCGTTAAGGTCAACCGCAGGAAGTGTCAAAAACACACATCGTTTGGTTGCGCGGTATACAAGCACACATACGCGTCCTTGTATGCGAGGCAGCCAAAGGAATAATTTCAAGCATTTCAATATGCATCTTGACCACAGACGCCTACTACAATGTCATGAGATGAGAAAGGGCGCAGAAGGACTGATGTTTCCGCCTGCCGAACACCGCCCGCCGAACACCACCCGCCGAACACCACCCTCTGAAAGTCACCCGCAGAACACCTCCCGCCGAACACAGCCCGCCGAACACCACCCGCCGAACATCACCCGCAGAACACCTCCCGCCGAACACAGCACGCCGAACACCACCCGCCGAGCACCACCCGCCGAACACCGCCCGCCGAACACCACCCGCCTAACACCACCCGCCGAACACATCATGCCGAACACCACCCGCCGAACACAGCATGCCGAACAACGCGGGCCGAACACTGCCAGCCGAACAACGCGGACCGAACAACGCCTGCCGAACCTCCGTCCTTTTGCGCCAAGCCTTTAAGCCATGATCAATACGTATCTATACGTGCGCTAACACAAGATCAGCTACCACGTACCATCAGAAGTCTGGAAAACCTAGTTTGAGAATTAATGGTCCATCAAGACGAAACCACCTGCCAAATTCGAAATGAGGAGCACACGAATAGACCATACTCAGACCTCACCTCGTTGCGTAGCTTCTTTATTTCTGTGGTGAGCTCCTCACACTGCTGCGTGTACTGCCACTTAGCTGTCTTTTCACTCTCTACTATCTGTAGCAGGTGAAGGTGCTTCTGTTCAAGCTCCTCCTTCTGCAGCAGGAGCTTGTTGAAGCTGAATGGAAAAAATTAGCTGTAAATAATCATGTCCATCGGAAGGGTGTGGGTCGCGTTGTCAAGCCATATCAAACGACAACGTATGCGAGAAATTATGCTGATGTGACTCAATCCATTGGGTGAGCATTTGGACACTCCTTGTTTATGCCGGATCCCACAAGATGAATAGGCAAAAAGATTATTGCAAAACACTTCATGAACAGGACAGCCCTGAGTGTTGCTTGGTCTCTAAAAACCCGGTCTTGCAGGTCTTCCGAAATTCCCCAATTCAGGTGCATAAAGCTCCACCCTAGTGTGCTTTCTGTGACGTACAAAAAATAGCTCCTAGTTAAAATGCCATTAGCAAAAGAAACCACGAGATCACATGTCACAGCTGAGTTTCCAACGCGCAAACTGACACTAACCGACTGGTATAAAATCAACCCCAATCATCAATGTAGCGAGCTAAAAGGGGAACGACTGTGCTGATCCTGATTAACTTGATGTTAAGGATTGTCTTTGCATTTGATGTCAATGCAGGCTGTCCTCTTAAGTCATGTTGTTACGACCAAGACGGTAGGTCCTTCAGTCCTAACGTCTCATAAGCGGATTATATAGCTTCAAAGGCCTCGGCCCGGCCAGCCAGAGCCTTTCTATCAGAGCTCTTATGCCCACTGTGATCGGACTTCGGTTCAACAGGAGCTTTTAGTAAAGGACGTTATCAAGCCAACACGACTGGAAACATCACTCATTGATGACAAAAACAACCTTTGCTCGATAACGTGTGCTTAACCAGTCGCTTGGTATATTGAAGGTCGTTAGCTGTGAGAATAAGAAATCTGAAATGATAATGCTAGTAAACCAGGGCCTCGAGGCTTTCCTTGTGTGCATAACGTACCATGGAAACGATACCAACGTAACGATACGTAAACGATACCAACGTAACGTACCAGCGAAACGATAACGTACCATGGAAATTGCACGGCTTTCAAAATGCAAAAAGAAATCTGAGGGACACGGGCTAAATCGAGGCCCAGATGTCGGCGGCCTGGGTCGCCGTGCTACGAGACCAACACTTTGTGACGGAGGAGAAAATGAGTGATCGTATTGCCACCAGCGGGGGTGAACTGTGCGGGTCATCACGCGCTCTCGCGTGCGCCATCCATGGCTCCGTCCGTTTTGCGAGATTTCGTGGGACTGATGTCAGATCTAGGCAACCAGCACCATGGGGACGGGGGGCAAACTGAGCGGCACAGACCGGCATACAGTAAACAAACCGCTGAGCGATGTCAGCAATGCCCCTCTCATAGCTGCGCCAGTAATCGGCGGGGATGAGAAAAACGTTACCTGCCACGGAACTGGCCACGAATAAATACGCTGAGCCCTCAAGTGGGATATTTGCTTTCAGGGAAAATTGCTCAGTTGCACGCTCAGTCTTTTTCAGCTATATCCACTAAAAACATTTACAGTTTTGCAATACTTTAGCCAGAATCACCGACAGCGTAAACCATTGAACGTTAAAGGCAGTATCCCGACTTTTGTACTTCTTACTTCTTGCTAGATCAGATGCGCATGATTTTTAATTTGATTCGAAGTAACCGCTCCTGCGGGAAAACTTTTAGTAACCTTCCTGCTCATGACTATGAAGGTGACACGTTTAATTTGCTTTGCTTTTTCCAGCGTGTGTGTTCTGTAGTGTTTGCAACACACTAATGCGTCAAAACGTGTGTGTTATAAATGGTGCGAAAGTTTGAAACACTCTGTTTAGGTAAAATATATGCGAAAATAAACCCATTGTCCCACAGAGGCAACAAAACGTTAAACTGCGGCTTGTATTTATCACCTTTTGGTGTTTATCAGGGTGTCTCTTTTCGAAGCGCACTTTGGCTTTGGAAATGGGAGTATTACATGGTCCATAGCGTCGTATTGGTTCACTGGCACCAGTACATTTCTTCATGACATGCTCATGCCGACCACTGGGCCTATCACAAACGTTCTTTAATTCGCAACAGTAGAGGTGCGCACGGTTACAGCAGTTACTGCCCACAGAAGCAGCTATAGCTCACATCGTCGATTCACAGCCCGCTAACAGTCATCCGAGGAAATTGACTTCCATTAAATCCAAGTTCGTAAACGATATCAATCGAACAGCTCAGGAGGCCCAATACTTTGTCAGTTTTATGCTAACTCTTAAGCTGGAATCCCAAGGAGCCCGCCCAGCTGAGTGTCGCGCGCCGCCGGGTGTGGCCCAGCAGCCAGCGCCCTTCGCGAGGCTATTATTGTATGGTGTCATTGGGCTGAACGGTGACGATGGGTATGGAACAAGGCTGGGCATACTCCACACAAGTCACGGTCGCACAGGGATAACGTTTTAGTTGTGATTTAAAATACTTCAGACATGTTGGTTATGTTTATCTGTATGGATGAGACGCTTGCGGATCATATTGATAATGATAGTTTTGATTCTGCGACATGGTTTATTCTTAAGAAATACGGAACCATTGTGCTACTTTTTAACTTAAGGCTAAATAGAAATGCCGTAAATATCGTACAATTACAGTCTGAGCACAGTTCGTCGCGCCGTTTTCTTTGTGTTTGATGTATTGCAATGAACTCATCTAACTTACAAATAGATTGAAACCATGTGGGGAGCTATCTGGTTATATATTTATGCATTACAACTAACATTTGGAATTGAGCAATATGATTCATTTCAACATTTTGTGTGCAAATACTGGCATGACTTTTAAAGGGATGATTATTTTCTATCTAGCAAGCCGGCTTTTTCGGAAAACTACAAATCATGTAATTAAATACATAGCAGTTAAGCTGTGCCTTTGTCACTGAAGTATCAAATCCTGCCAATTGCTTCAAAGTTTGGGGTTAACAAGTCAGCAACACAATAAGTGTGGGACAAGCATTTGAGCGATTCGCTGATCTTCACGGCAAGGTATTTTGTTCCATTTTAGTTCTCCATGGGTGAGCTGTGAATTCGCACATTCAGTTGTAAATTGGAGTAAATAGTATTGAGGCTTGAAACAAAAAGGTAAGTAGTTATTTGCATCACATAGTTATTTGAGGTTATTGGTGTGGACCTTCGAAGAATATGGGGTTTAAACGTTTTTGTTCTCCTCTAACCTACATAGAGACTCATGCAAGGGGCAAATATCCAAGGAATGTGAGGTCCCTGGGCGTTGGAGAAACACTCAAAAGCTGCAAAACCTGAAACACAAACACCGAATATGCGCCCCATTGCACATATATCACTACCTCAATCCAATAAATATCATTGGGAGGTCAACGGAAACGACAAAGTATGCATCGTCTTGAGGTTCCAAGAGGCGTTTTGTTCTTGTGGAGAAAATGTTCCTTCCTGGGTGTGGTATTCAGCGCACAGCCCAAGGTGTGCCAGCCGGGCTGCCTCACCTGGCCTGCCTGATGGCGTCGATCCAGGCCTTGCAGTCGTTCTCCGAGTTGGCGCGGAGGTCGTACTGGCGCTGGTTCTCCCGCCGGTACGTGATGGACAGACAGTACTGCGGCACAGCGTGCGTGACGTCAGCAGGCGCCGCGGCCCGACGGCGTCCCCAGCCGCCAAACACGGCCGCGCGCCACGCCACGGCCGACGCGGCGCCCGACGATGTCCTCCGCCCAGGATGTAATGCGGCGCAGCTTGCCTTGAAGGATGCCGTCGTGCGGCACAGCCTACCAGGGCGGGCTTTCGGCCCTCGCGCTCGGTAATGAAGCAACGAACACCATGCAGCGGCAAGTTGTTTCCATCCAAAATACTTCGTCCGTTCGATATGTGATGTGAACTCAAAGGTGGGAGAAAGTGCAGAAGACGGATAACGCGCAAAGAGGATGATACCTTCCAGGTTAGCTAAGGGTTAGTACAAATTATCTTATATTTGGGAGCATGTGACAGGTATCCACTATCCAGTGCACCACAATCCTGTCTTTCTTCGATAAAGGACAATTAATGCGATCATCTGCACAGTTATGCACTAAGTTCAAATAATGCGCAGCTTTACTCCGCGAGTACGAGGCTTATGTGTTGCTTGACATTCAACATCTGCGGCATTTTCAGTGTCATTACGTTTGTTATCGGTTTTACATGCTTTTGTTGTCATTGAGGCTCAACTCGGAAGATGTACTCTATACGCTCAGAAGCTGAGGCTGTATGGTGTCGCCTGCCTCCTACCCTGACAGGAAGGTCGGGCAGCGAGGGGAGTCTAATCCCGTACCTCTGGTTTTCCAGACGCTAAGAGAAGCCATTGCGTTACCGAAGCCCGAATATCCGTTGTATACGAATGATTAAAATGGTGGCTTATATTCATGCAAGACGGGAATGCATCTTTTAACTGTAATCGGACGTCCGTCTTTAAGTTACAGCTACATATCATGAAAACCGGTAAGGTTTTTAGAGCTTTATTATTTTAAGTACGACTTTTCTATGTAAAAGGTCGTACACATGGTCTACTCTTAACTTCAATTGAACACCTACCTGTTGCCCGCGGTTGCGTGTCATGGACAGCTCATTTGGTTGTGCGTTCAGTGCTGCCCGGTACGTGACTATACCGTTTCCACCGTAGTGTGACCGGGTAGTCGGTGACGGGGACCGTTAAGCTGATTCAAGGCTGGTGGTCCTGCCGCCCGCGCCTTACGTCGTCTGCGGCCGTCGCAGAGGCCCAGCGGCGGTCTCGCCTGGGGCTCCGTCCCCGCGGGCTTCGGAATGTTTTCACCTGATATGCAACTCCTGGGGCTTGGAGGAGGTGTTCTCAGCGAGGGTCCGATTCTATGGGCTTGGAGGCGTTCGTAGCTGGGGTCAGAGGCCTTGGGCTTGGTGGAATGTTCTTACCTGGGCTCCTCCAGCCCCGTGGGCTTGGAGGTGTTCTCACCTGGGATCCATTCCCTCGGACTAGACGGTATTCCCACCTGGCGGTCAGAGTCCTTGGGCCTGGACGAGTGTTCTCGCCTGGAGTCCATCCCCTCGGACTAGACGGTAAGCTTACCTGGAGGTCAGAGTCCTTAGGCTTGGGGGAGGAGTTCTCACCTGGGGATCAGAGTCCTTGGGCTTGGAGGAGGTGGTGATGAGCCGCTCGCAGTAGCATCCCTCCAGCAGCACCACCCCGGACGGTCGGCTGCTCGACTCGGCCTCGTAGTAGAACAGAAGGTTCTGCGTGTGGATGGTGAGGTTCGTCACTCGTGCTCCACACTGGGTAGGGGTGTCGCTGCGCTGGCATACAATAGAACAGCGTGTCCACAGAAGGTAGGAGTGTCACTGCGCAGGCGTGGAACACAACGGTGTGTCCACACTGGGTAGGGGTGTCGCTGCGCTGGCATACAATACAACGGTGTGTCCACACTGGGTAGGGGTGTCACTGCGCAGGCGTGGAATACAACGGTGTATCCACACTGGGTAGGAGTGTCACTGCGTAGGCGTGGAATACAACGGTGTGTCCACACTGGGCAGGGGTGTCACTGCGCAGGCATAGAACGGTGTGTCTGCAGAAGGTAGGAGTGTTACTGCGCAGGCGTGGATTAAAACGGAGTGTCTTTACTGGGTAAGAATGGCATAGCACAGGCATGAAACAAAACGTTATGTCCACACTGGGTAGGGTGTCACTGGGCAGGCGTCGAGCTCTTCCATCATGCGGACACCGTGCTTGACTTGTCAAGACGGACGTTTAAAATTTAACGGCGTATATTAACACGCGCCCGGGTGGCCGGTTGAATACCCTCGCTCGGGTGAGGTCAATTTGACCCCACTGGGATCTCAGAAACTAAGAGAGCCTGAGACACCAAATTCACAGTGTGTGTTGACCTACAGGTGAACTTATTTGTGGCAGAACTTGAGATTCTTAGGTCATGAAATTCGGGTCAAGGAAGGTCAAACAAGCTTAAACTCAAGATTGACGTTCGAAGTGTAAACAGATCCTGGATACCTGTTCTAAGCAAAAGGTCACTAGTGTTCATTTAAGGTCAGTGGCCTTGTTTGCCCTTTCGCAGGTCATGGAGACCAAAATCATATGAAACTGCTTTGAATTTTGCATTTGAATAGGCGTCATTGATTACACTACGCAGTATGTTCCAAAAAACATAATGATCACCCCGATCATTTTAGGTCAGTAGCCTATTTTGACCTTTAAAAGTGAATGCAAGATGTGCAATCTGATTCCTGTTATGAATAAATTCGGAATGAACACCAGAATCCAACCCACACAGGAAGCACTAGAGCAATAAAGCAGGCTCGTTTTAATCTTGGTCTGACCTTCATACCCGACCTTAAGTCAATGAAATTTGTTCATTCAATTGTTGTGTTGCCTAATAAGCCATTTCGGAGATGTATGGCTTTGTCTAACGTTTCATTGTTGCATCAGATTGAACGACTCCGTAACATTTGTATTCGCTGAATGCATGACCTGACTTTGACCTACCGTGGTCAGCGACCATACAAGGTCCATCAAAAATTTTGACACCAAACGATCTGATATTCAGTTGTCTACGGTCATGTATAACTTGACAAGGCTACGTAAAGCCGTTCGGAAACCATTCCAGAAAAAACCTTCGCGGGGTCAAATTGACCCCAACCGAGCGCGTGTTCAAGTTACGAAACGGTTATCCTTTGAAACTTGTATCCAGCTGTTATATTGGCTTTGTGGTCCTGCGGTTCCGGTGCGCCAGACTGGTGTAGCAGTTGCATAAGTGCAGTGCTGTCAGTGATATATGGGCATGTAGCTTTCAGACCAGACTGCACCATGGGGAACGCGAATGACATGTGTCATACCGTGTACACATATTGGTGAGGTGCCGTTTCGCACTCGAAGTGGGTCATCGTGCTCATGATCAAGAGGTCACGGGTTCAACCTCAAGTATTCTTCCACGTTATTCACTGGATCCATTGTGAGAGCCAGCCGTAACAGCTACGACAAACATTAACTTAACGACTGTATGCGTACGAGCGTAATTTAATGTCCATCGTCGATTCAGTAAATGCTCACGCCGTCACTAAACCATAAAGCTACCCCATCGCGCCACCAATCAGCCTTGCTAAGGCACGCCAAGGTGTGCACGCAACAATAATGAATGTAATAAGAACAGCGCACACAGGTGTAAAAGGGTGCACCCGTAAAAATGATACCTAATCGACATCCAAGAGACATGTCGACGTTTGCACTCGCTGCTATACCGCGAACTCGATGTGTTTGACGAGCGCATACCGGAGTACGCTGACCTTTAACAACGCGAAGCTATTGTAATGTCTTCCACGAACCCGCGCTTGGTTAACGGCGCAGAAGGCTCTAGAACGGACCAAACCGAGATGGACACGCGCAGACGATCTTACTTCACTGCTCAGCGCAGGCTTGCATAGTTCAACGTCAGTGTAGCTTGTCATCTTCACATGTACATTTTCGACTGCGTGTGCACTCCGTAAAGCTGTTTTTAAATAACTTAAGTTGGTTTGTATCTAAATAGAGTTGTTTTGGCCTAGCTACCCGCGAGGAGTTCAAAATTCCAGAGTGCAAAGCATGACTTGACCTCATTTGGCCTGACATAACAGTCAACGGTACACCTGGGAAACGCCTTGGAATGACCCCCGCAAATTGTAGAGATAAAAGCGGCGGCTTTTGCTCAGCGTACTAGTGTGGAATCGGCGAGTGGCGGTATTAATAGCTACCGACGATGGTGGTGCGACTTTCAAAGCTAGCGAAGGATTGGGCAAAAGTTCAGTCCAAAATATTACGCTGGCACAGCCTGTACTTTGTGCATGTATAGATATCGAAATATATTAAGATATACCCCATCCTTACAAATTCATGTATATATATACATATATATATATATATATATATATATATATATACATATATATATATATATATATATATATATATATATATATATATATATATATATATATATATATTCAGTAAGATTATATATGTGGTGTGTGTGTGTGTGTGTGCGTGTGTGTGTGTGTGTGTGTGTGTGTGTGTGTGTGTGTGTGTGTGTGTGTGTGTGTGTGTGTGTGTGTGTGTGTGTGTGTGTGTGTGTGTGTGTGTGTGTGTGTGTGTGTGTGTGTGTGTGTGTGTGTGTGTGTGTGTGTGTGTGTGTGTGTGTGTGTGTGTGTGTGTGTGTGTGTGTGTGTGTGTGTGTGTGTGTGTGTGTGTGTGTGGTGTGTGTGTGTGTGTGTGTGTGTGTGTGTGTGTGTGTGTGTGTGTGTGTGTGTGTGTGTGTGTGTGTGTGTGTGTTGATACCTTTCGCGGAGACAGGCAGCGTGTGGAAACATACAGTGTGCATTATGCTCATGAAGGCGTGGGTAATGTCTACCATCGCCGCCATTAGATACCGCTCCATTAAAAGGCTCTTCTGCCCAGGCGTTAGTGGTATTCTGCGGTGGCAAAGGTCAGTGTGATGGGCGAATGCGAATCAGAACGAAATGACTTAAGCACAAAACCATTATGGAGGAGCTCGTCGGAGTTAGCTCACACAATGGAAACAAACGTGACGCGATGTGACGAGACTGCGTGTCGGGGGACCGTTTTGCTGTACATATGTATATTGTCCGGTATGAAGCCATGCCCGGCGTAGCTCAATGAGATGATGAACGGCCACTACTGATAATCAATAATCAATCTCCGCATTGATGGCTTGGCCGACATTAATCAGAAATGCATAATCACCAAAATGGCGAAGGATATGAGACAGTACATCGCATTCAAATAACGCCACAATCCTCGTACCTGTACTTCGCTCAAGCATGCACTAGCGTGAACTGCAGCTGGAGTAATGCGGAACCCATTGGCAAGGAAAAGTATCGGATAATATTCTGCAAAGTAGGATTCCTTACATCACACCCTTTGAAGTAACGCAAAACTGGGGAATATTAGCCTAAACACAAGCTAAAAATATAAGCATTTGCCAAATAATTTATAGATAGAGTATAATTCAAATATCTGCTGATATCTGCTGCTATATAAAATATCTGCTAAATAGTCATGGTTGCAGCACGAGCACCATTGAGAGGATTAAATCGTAGGCTTCTATGTATTTCGCGTTCTTTGATCCTAGTCTGCAGGAGCTGAAAGACACCGCACAAGACTTGGCTGTTCTGATCAATGGCCTGCCGCCATTGTGAACTCCGAATTGGCCTCCCTGAAGGAGGCGGCCGTGGTCCCGGGGGACGGTCGCCAGAAGGACGCCACCATCGGCGCGGATGTGAGACCACTTAATTCGGCATTGGAGAACCGCGGCCGCTTCGAGCGGAGGGACGATGGTTCCCTATTGAATAGGCCCTCCACCGACCTCAAGCGGTCAGCAGTGGCGCTGTGAGACGCAGTATGTGGCGATGCCACCGGAGGGGAAGATGCGAAGGTGTCTTTGCCACTGATGAGTGACTTCGGGTGAAGAAAATAATGACACTGGCTCGCAGCGCTCAGTGGGCAGCCGGCGGGCGGGCTAGGATAGATTAAAGAGACACCTCTTTTTATCAGTCTGGTACGGTTATTGAATCGACGCGACAAGACGTGCCTGAGTGCCGGGAGACAGGCGGCAGTTCGGTGCATTCTTTCTGCATGCGTCATGGAGCGACTTTTTCGCTCATGTTACCACGCAAAACGTTTTAAAGCCGCCATGGAATGTGAACAACCGCATTACAGCATTGATTATTAACATGACGTTCCTAGCATGCCATCCACGCCGCTAGCGTCCCCACCCGCGCGTCGGTACGGTCGAGCCCACCGAGGCGACCTCACTGCACCCATCGGGCGGGCTCGTGACTCTGACAGCCAGACCGGGCAGCCGGCGAGCAGCCCGCAGCGTCCCGAGCAACGGGCAGTCGGCGGGCAGCCTACAGCGCCCCGAGCAACGGGCAGTCGGCGGGCAGCCCGCAGCGTTCCGAGCAACGGGCAGTCGGCGGGCAGCCCGCAGCGTCCCGAGCAACGGGCGGTCGGCGGGCAGCCGCAGCGTCCCGAGCAACGGGCAGTCGGCGGGCAGCCTACAGCGCCCCGAGCAACGGGCAGCCGGCGGGCAGCCGCAGCGTCCCGAGCAACGGGCAGTCGGCGGGCAGCCCGCAGCGTCCCGAGCAACGGGCAGTCGGCGGGCAGCCTACAGCGCCCCGAGCAACGGGCAGCCGGCGGGCAGCCGCAGCGTCCCGAGCAACGGGCAGTCGGCGGG